TGGATTAAAAAGAGACAGCTCTGTTAGCATCGAGATTTAGCAGTTCAAGTTTTTTGCATGGTTTAGTTTTATTGATGATTTTACAAGGATGGTTTTACAATAAAACTTACAAAGGTAAGTTTTATTGATGAGCCCAGAGTATGATTTTTTTAATTCTTTTGAGCGTCGCAGTCTCACGATGATGAAGCGACAAACAAACGAGACTTCTATTTCACGCCACTTTCAGTGCACGTTTCAGTGTACGCGTGATGAATTTTTGTGAACAACCACTCATTGATTGATTGATTTCTGGGGTTTAACCTCCCAAAACCATCATATTATATGAGAGGCGCCGTAGTGGAAGGCTCCGGAAATTGCAACCACCTGGAGCTCTTTAACATGCACCCAAATCTGAGTACACGGGCCTACAACATTTTCGCCTCCATTTAAAATGCAGCCGCTGCAGCCGGGATTTGCTCCCGCAACCTGCTGGTCATCAGTCGAGTACTTTAGCCACTAGACCTCCGCTGTGTGGCGAACGCCCACTCAAATAAAGCTTGCGTGAAACCTGCCTTTCCGCAATTTCCTGGAAAGTTTAAGTTTCATTAGGCTATGCGCTATGTCATCGGCAGCGCCAGAACTGGCTGCTCTTAAATGAAATGCGCACTCCGGCGGCATGGGCTAAAAGTCGTGTCTACAGAACCTGCAGTTTTTCTAATTTTAATAGTTCTCAAGAAATGAAGTCTAGGATTTGGCAGGAAAGCATATTTGAGTAGGTAGTACAAAAAAAGACACATGGAAGAAATGAACACAACGAACAATCACCATCTTGTGTCTGTGTCTCTAGCTTGTGTTTTGTTTTTTGCTTTACTGCTCTAATATCTCATGGTTTGTACAAGTATGCAGCAATTCCACGCAATAAGTGATGCCCACCACGAAGCGCTCGATAAAGAAGCTGGCATTCTATTTCAATTTTCAATGAGTCACCGCAGAATAACTGGTAACGATAGCTAATGTGAGGCAGCGTGCTTCACCAATAAACAAGACATTCATATTATTACTAGAAGCGGGAACATACTATAAGCAAAATTGCAACTTCAGTCAGTTTCTCGCCACATCACTCTTCCTGACTATAATTTACTCTGTTTCTCTAACTACCACTTCCAGCAGCTGGACCATAACTTGGCGCTTCTTATGCCACCTGCACTTTTCTATCGCTAAGCTTTCGTTCGTTGCATGTAGTTTGGCTAGGTGTTCTCGCTATATTAGTTCCTAATTATAGCGACAAGTGTGCCTCAGAACATTTGCCAACTTAACGACACAATTCACCATCTGTGCTATGGGGAATTCTTTGATGTTAAATTATCACTTGAAAAAGATACCTTTTCAGAAGAAAGACACCTCTGGGAGGAAAAGATCCTGGTGCGCGTCTATTCGTATGCAAAAGACCGCAAGTGTCCAATTGCACTTCATTATGACATATAGCTGGGTGTTACGTATAGTTCTGGACGGCTAGCATACTACATCTCTTTGTGATAACATATGATGCTGTTTATTATTTTTCTATTGTTCATTGTTTAGTATTAGTTTTGCTCATGTTTTCTCATTTTCTTTCCCAAAGGGGATAGTGCATAGCTAAATAATGACGTCACTGGTTTAGTTACCAGCCTATCTTTATGTCTTTGTTTCTATATTAGTTTGTCATGCTCTTTTATTTTTGGAATTTGAATTTCGCCAAGGAAACTGGTTTTCATATCAAAAGTTGGGAATCAATCGTGGTACAGCATAATCGAGTGCAAATTTGGAGCATTGTGCGACTCTTTTGGCACTCCGAGACACGACAAACTCATCAAATGGAAATCACGCATTTCGACCACCGACAGCACAGATATCAGACATTCCAACATGGAAAATATAAAGCGTAGTTCGATATCTGCTTACTTTCATCCTCACAAATAAGATTATAACTTTCAGCTTAGGGATGCACCCCGCCTGAGGCTGCTGCACCTTCTGTTGCTTTATTCCGTCCCCCTCCGAATAGAATGGCACTGCCTGGACGGATGTTGTGAAGTGCAGCTTCGAGCAAAGGACCGTTCGAGACCGGTGCAGCTGTATAAATAGGACCGACGTGGCCCAGCATTTGTTCAGACAAGCCTGCATTACGAAAGAATGAGCTGCCTTGGGTCTTAGGTGCATTTTACAAGTGCCGTCTTAGAGCTCACCCGATCGTAATTTAAAATATACAGAAATGCGAACCCATTAAACGAAAGTATAGTCGTGTATTTGGTGCAAATCTTCTGCGTTGGAGCATACTTTGATAATACGATGCAGAATGAAAATGTGCAGTGGGGTTCCCAGAAACTTGAATACTTGTTGTGAATGAAGGGATGTATTTAAACTTGGAAGAACTTGAGCGTCGCCTTCAAGAGAAGAGTGTGATAGCGCCGTTGGTCCCCATTCGTGTCGTGTTCTGATTCACTTGCCAGGCGTCACTTTGCGGTGGGCTCCTAAGTCATGCAATAAGCAAGGGAACCTCTGCACTCGTAACATTGGTCGTTTTAAACTATCTTGGAATGCATACTGCAAGCGAAGCTGCGAAGTGCACAATATGTCACAACAGTTTAATTACGTCTGGACGCTTTGTGATAGGTGGGCCTTTAAACCATCCACTCTTTGCGCAGTTCACATAAAGCGAGAACTGGTTTTATTCCAAGCTTCTGACACTGAATATTACCCGGTGTGTTAGCGAGACTCCTCGCACAATATAAGTGGTGTATAGAAGTTTGATAATTGCGAAGCATTTCTCGCGACGCGACCCTTTGGTGGCAATCTATCTATCTATTCATATAAATATGTATACATATATATATATATATATATATATATATATATATATATATATATATATATAAAATAAGGGAAAGAAGTGTATACTTAGCTAAGGGCTCGTTTGGCCGTGTTTTAACACAATAATAATGAGATCTAACAGACCGTAATGCCAAGGAATGTACAGGGGAAGTTATTAGAACCAATGGAATGTAAATAAGAAAAAAGAAGAAAGAAAAGTGCATGAAAAAATAACCAGCCGTGAGCAGGAATCGAACCTACGACCTTCGAATAACGCGTTCGATGCTCTAACCACTGAGCTATTTCTGTTTCTTCATCCACTTTTCTTTCTTCTTATTTACATTCCATTGGTTGTAATAACTTCCCCTGTACATTCCTTGGCATTACTGTCTGTTAGATCTCATTAATATTGTATATATATATATATATATATATATATAATATATATATATATATATATATATATATATATATATATATTTAATATATATATATATATATATATATATATATATATATATATAAATATATATATATATATATATATATATATATATATATATATATATATATATATATATATATAATATATATATATATATATATATATATATATATATATATATATATATATATATAGGTCCACGACATAGGTCCACGAAATATAGATATGCCATAACGCAGTAGCTCTACGGCTATCGCGTTAAGCAGGCGCCGGCAACGTTGTTGGTGCGCGTAAATCCCAAAGCATGCATAGTTTGAAAATTACAGTTCAATCTCAGTCTAACTCAGAAATTCCGCGTGGTGGCCAAGCATTTTGCTACAAAGCCACGCCAGTGCCTGAAAGTTGATTTGAAAAAGACTGTATACGGGCGCCAGGCCGAGGCAACGTAACATACCCGACAACGACCACCACCTATTAAATGCAGATCAACACACTCTGCCATGCACTTCGTTTCGAGGAAACTAATGTCTGTCTCAAACGGGCGTACCGCAGTTATGTCAGACCACAAGCTACCCTTAAAACATCAACGTAGCTTGGTAAGCACTCGATATGTTCAAAACACTTAACTCATTAAATACTTTGATTGACCTCGTAACTCTTGGCTCAGAGCACGAAAAAATGGGGAATATAGGCAGATACTTCCTTACTGCTTCGCATCAAATATATTCCCCCAATCTGTGGTAATGGCCGGAATTTTATGCTTCAAGAAACGCGCAATTGACTAAAAAGTCCAGCGGCGTTGGTGCCAACAGGATTGATGCAAAAGTAATCACGTAACGATGCCATTATATTGCGCCATTATTACGCCACAGATCAAAATGGGACCTCGTCACGACGTCACCGGGAAGCCACATCACTTGTGGCATAATCACAACGTTACATGTCATCATTACTTGGTCAAAAGTGGGCCGATTGCAGAGTCAGGGCAAAGTCGGGGGATATACAAAGAGCTAGCAACGCCAGCGATCCTGGAGGCAGCTTTAAATACCATTAGGCGCAAAAAGCGTTTGGATGTGATGGAGCCGAAACAGTGGAATTCAATACAATACAATATAGCAGTGATGTGGCTATGTGGTAGAATCCCTGCTTTTCATGTAGGAGGTCTATGAATTTCATTATTTGCCTCGATCGCTGTTTTTTCGCTTCAAAACAAGAACGCCGCCACATACGCTGGATAGATAGATAGATAGATAGATAGATAGATAGATAGATAGATAGATAGATAGATAGATAGATAGATAGATAGATAGATAGATAGATAGATAGATAGATAGATAGATAGATAGATAGATAGATAGATAGATAGATAGATAGATAGATAGATAGATAGATAGATAGATAGATAGATAGATAGATAGATGCTCAAAGTACGAGCAATAGGCGCAAATATGCTTCGGAATTAAAAAATGAAGCTTAAGAAACGGTGTTTCGACCTGTTTTATTCAAGCAATAATGTGCTCATAAAGCAATAGGTTGGGTGACTTGCGTTTGAGACTTGCCCAACTTTTGCATTCTATATTCATGTGAAAGGTACAATTCTGATACACAAACGTCATTCGCTAATTGAGCTCGTTTACATTTTCTTTACTGGTTGTCACTGATATGTTCTTCCGCTCGGACGCAGGAGAGCTACACGATTGATGTATCTTCTATGTTTGTTTCGTTCCAGCTTGGCTCTTGGGTTTGTTCGTTTGCAAGAGCGTCTCATATCTGCAAGGAGTCTCCGTTTGTGCATCTGTCAACACACTCATGGCCATTTCGATAGACAGGTATTGTACTTTTATTCAGCCATCCCTTTTTGAACATGTAAGAACAGTTTACGTCTCTAAATGTGACGGCAGATAAGACCTGCATCACTCTTATCGTACCCTATGGTTTGTAGGCACAAAATTCAGTCAAAATCTGAAGCCACAGATTCTCATATATTAGCTTCTTTCCAACCGTGAACGAATCATTGATGAACTCGAAGATTTTCTGTTTTCCAGTCAAAGTTGTTAAGAGATCAGAACGCTGGTCACGCGTGGTGCCATAGTTGTCCGCCGCCGCCGCCGCCACTGCCGCCGCCGCCAGTGTCTGTAACCAATATCTCGAGAAGTAAGAAAAAACTCATTAAACAGAGAAACGCCAGGGACACAATGGGATTCAAACCCTGGCTGCGTGCCAGCCCCGTTTTTTACCACTGATCCACGCCGGCACTTGTAACTCGTTTCTAAACTGGCCTTAGGCAGGCTTGATGTCGGGAAAAGAATCGCGGTAATATGAGTAATAAAGCGTATTAGATCATCAAAGGAACAACCAGGCATCCCACAATGCGAATTGTGTACTGAGTGGCTAGTCAAATTCTCCTATTAATTTAAAAACTTGCTCTTTATCACCTAGTGATCGTGGCGCACACCCACTCACGGCATAATTCTTCATCATCGTCAGCCACTGCATTAAAAAATTGCACAACATTTCTAGCGAGTGTCTAGCGAATACCACGCTTCTCTGAAGAACGACAAAAGATAAGATAGTGAATGGTGGCTTATACAACACAAAAATTATGATAATGTATGGCATAGTTGGCGCCTAGCAAATGTGATTGTAGCAGTTACCCAGAGAGGGTTTAAAGAAGACTCTAAAAGGTCACTCTTGTACCTTTCGCTGTGACTGTGCTGCCCGTTCTATGTAGGCCTGGCTTTTTTTTTGTACAACGACTGAATTGGATATATTTACCTTGTTTTACAAGGCTTTTAAACGCACCCAGTAACTATAAGAATGTATGAGCGTACGGGTTTACTCGTTTTCTAAGGAGGGCATGACGCCCAATTTTCATTTTTTTATCTGTGCTAGGTGGGTTTAATTTTATCGTGTACAAACAAGATGGAAATGTTTGAGCGCATTTGATTGATTGATTGATATGTGGGGTTTAACGTCCCAAAACCACCATATGATTATGAGAGACGCCGTAGTGGAGGGCTACGGAAATTTCGACCACCTGGGGTTCTTTAACGTGGCCCAAATCTGAGCACACGGGCCTACAAAATTTCCGCCTCCATCGGAAATGCAGCCGCCGCAGCCGGGATTTGAACCCGCGACCTGCGGGTCAGCAGCCGAGTACCTTAGCCACTAGACCACCGCGGCGGGGCGAGCGCATTTAGTCAAGCACCTAAATTACATTTGCGCATTTTTTTTTATAAACGCGCGCCTTGGCTGCGAGTCGGGCTAATATGGTGCACTTGCGAGCCATCATGTACCAAGCTGCTTGCCGTGTGAGCATCTGCTTTCTATAGCAAATCTTTGTGCTCCGTGATCAGCTGCGTTTGCAATAGAGCTATTTGATCTTTAGGCACCTTGGAATTGAAACTGATTTGAACGTCAGAGGATTTCATTCTCCTCATGGGGGCATGCATATTTGCTTTGCTGGCAAACCTCAGCAGATTGGGATGATTTGTATGGAAACCTTTACGTATGAATTGCAAATGCGTCATTGAGTCTGTGGCACATATTATTACTTCTATGCACAATGGTTTTGCAATGCAATCTCAAGGGCAAAAGATGGTGTTGGGAAGGCGATTCCAGGGGAAACTGATACAGCTTTCTTTTTTTTTCGTTCGTGGTTTTTTCAATGGGTGGCTGTTTCTGCTAATGCCATACCCACCATCATGAATCACTGTATCTTTTTTCTGTGAAGTATCTTAGCATGAAATGTCGTGCCTGACCGTGCATTTATTTGCGAGTGTGCGTCTGCGTGCTTGCGTGCGTATGTGGTTGCGTGTGCTTGTGTGTGGGCGCGCACATGTTAGTTTTCGCGTGTGTGTTCATGAAAGCTGAAAACTGAGGAATTTCTTGGCCTGCAGTCACATTTTTTTTCCATTAGCATGCTCCTTGCAAATGCCTGCTCGCTTTTCATCAAACACGTCAAGCATCACTACAGGATGAAAGTTTTTCGTACGTGTCATTTCAGTACAACAGCTTTCATCTTAATACGCACCTGTCTGCTGTACCGTTTAGATCATTTTGCCCTTGTAAAAAAAAAACCTCCATGAACAAATATTGTCTTTGTCGGATGACTTTAGAATATTATTAGAATGTTTCAGAGGACATACAGCATTCGTTATACAAGACTTCGCATAACATCATTGCCAGAATATATTATTTAACCACCAACAGATACAACGTCATTATACTGACCTCGAATTCAGTGGTATCACTCACGCTAAATTTGTACGTGGCACTAAAATGGCAACTGGCCACAGAGCAGATATTGAGCAACAGTTATAAAATAAGTCTGATTACTTCTTAATTTTAGATGTGTGCAAAGATAGACGCGATGTTTATATTCATAAAAATGCGAGACATCACTGCATAATAGTATCACGATTGAATGGCGTCCTCTGCCCCACGCTTGCCTTTTACTCTCTCTACCACCCTGATGACACCTTCCTTCACCTTCTTTCTTTATTTTTGTACATTCATTCATTTCCACCAGAGTAGGAGGCAAGAAAGATGCACGTCTGGTTTCACTCCCCGTATTTCCTCTTTCACCTCCTCCATATGCGAGAATTTCTTGGATTCGGTACGCTCAACAGAGGCCTGTCGGAGATATTTATACACCATCTCCCCGCAGCCTTCTGGCCCGTCCCCTCAATAAAGGCAGCTTTACTACTGGGACACCACGTGCACCGCATGCTTCCTCCCTGTGCCCAACCTCGCATCAGTTTGAATGGCTGAGGTAAAAGTGTGAAAGAAAGAGCGCCAGCCGATGACTCAGGGAAAGATCGTGATCTTGACTTGACAACACTTTCATCGTGGACTAAGACGGTTGTTTTGACAGGTGGCTCCTTCAGTGTTCTTTTCACGGTTCTTTAGGAGGCATAATGATTTAATATAGTTTCCAAAATAACACATGTGTAGTATGGCAGCGATTATACAGCGTGAAAAAGTCATGTAAGTTCAAGCTGGCAGTGGAATCTCGAGAAACAACGCTGCGGCAGACACAGACATTTCACGTAAAGCCGATTCTGCCAGGACGCTTTCGCGTGCGCCCCTTGCAAGCTCCCGCAATGCTGCTCACGTCCCAGTCTCGTCACCAAGTTCGCAGGTTGGCTCATTTACCGGACTCAGCAGAAAACCGCTGTAGGCGCATTAAACTGCGGCACATTTAGGGCGAGGTTAAAAGTTGCCAGTGATAGCTCATTCATACGTGCAAAGGTTCCTATAGTGACGGCGCCTTTCGAGGATGAACATTGATTGTTATGTGGGTTTTAACGTCCCAAATCACCCATATGGTTATGACAGACGCCGTAGTGAAGGGCTTCAGTAATTTCGACCACCTGGGATTCTTCGACGTGCACCCGAATATGAGCACACAGCCCGACACATTTTCGCCTCCATTTAAAATGCAGCCGCCGCAACCCGGCATTTGATCCCGTTACCTACGTGTCAGCAGCCGAGTTTCATAGCCACTAGAACACCGCGGTGGAGCAGGAAGTGTAAAAAAACTATAGAAAAGTCAGGCTGCCGAAACATTGAAAAGTCAAGTTTTTACACGTTGAAAGAAGCGTACACTTATTTGCTGACTGCTTCAAAGCAAACTCGTTACCTTGCACTTCAAGGTACACATAGCCAGAAAGACAAAGACCCGTAAAGGAAAGAATAATCAAGCAACAAGCAAAGGAAATGAAAACGCATAGGTTTATACTTGAGACGCAACAATTGGCCCCGCCGCGGTGGTATAGTAGCTAAGGTACTCGGCTGCTGACCCGCAGGGCGCGGGTTCGAATCCCGGCTGCGGCGTCTGCATTTCCGATGGAGGTGGAAATGTTGTAGGCCCGTGTGCTCAGATTTGGGTGCACGTTAAAGACCCCCAGGTGGTCTAAATTTCCGGAGCCCTCCACTACGGCGTCTCTCATACTCATATAGTGGTTTTGGGACGCGAAACCCCACATATCGATCAAGACGCAACATTTGTCTTGCTTTATCACCACAAAATTTAGCTAACGTCACATTTCACATACCCTTCATTCGTCCTGGAAAATGGTTAAATTTTCTTATTGATTCGGAGATGCCATAGTTCCAATCTTAAGCCACATTGGAAATGTGTGGCTGTCTGCAGAACTTGTCACTTTGAGTAATACCGGGAATCTTCACAGAGGACGTGTCTTTAGTCCTACTGAGTTTTAAGGCTGGCGCACACCGGCGACTAGCAGCGGTCGCGCGACCATTCGCGACCATTTGCACTGGCGACCAAAAAAGCGTCTGATGTTCACACCGGCAGAGGCTGCATGCGAGCGACGTCCGGATCTCGTTATCAGTGAGAACTCTGCGCCGATCAGCTGATCGCCGCCAGCTGACAGAGCGGAGCAAACCAAGCGCGCCTCGTTTCTTGTTTTTATCCGTTCTCGCACTCTAAAAAAAATATCGAGTAAAAAGGGTGTCTTTTTGTCCCACAACAATAATCGTCATCAGGCTTGCGTGCGCTTCCTTTTTTGAAAACTCGGCACTGGCCACTTTCCTATCGAGAATGCAATGTAACCCTGATAATGGGCATGTCGATCGTGACTGGAATGTACCGGGCGCGGGGCGATAGCGAAAGGATGGAACGCAATATAGATGACGATTATTATTGTGGAACAAAAAGACACCATTTTTACTCGCTCTTTTTTTTAGAGTGCGCCAGCGCAATGAAAACACAAACAACAAATATTGAGCATCGCTGATTGGTTCCAGCAGCTTTGCGGCCGCAGTCGCGCGACTGAAAAATCGGTCAGGAAGCGACTAGTCAAAG